CTAATGAAGGGAATCAGGGCTCTTTCCTCCCCTGTAAGCCACACAACCCATATTGCTTCTTTCTCCATTCCTCCATGCATGCCCTAGGATGAAGGGGTGGGCCTGGGTCTTCCTCCAAATTCCCTCTCCCTTGTTCTATCTCTTCCCTGCTCTGCCCAGCCGGACTTTGCCCTTCCCCAGCCTCCTCCACAGCTAATGGAGCCACACTCCCATTCCTTGTCAGCTGTCCACACCTTCCTCCTCTGATTCAGACTCTGACAGGGGCATGACAGTCACTTTTTTCAGTGCTGTCATAATTTCAAACACTTGCTAAACAAATGGTCATAAGTTGAGGACTGTTTGTAGTTCATTGGTGTTCATGGGGAAGACCAAAGGCAAGTGATACTGTATGCTAATGATCCAAATGTCATAATTGGTGTCATTTCTGCAATGATGTCATGCATGAAATTGCCTTCGCTTGTTGGTGGACATTCTAAGCAGTTCGGAGAACCGGTTGTTAGAAGAAGTTACTGGCCTAATCCTGTAAGGAAGGCGGGAAGGAAACATTCTGGTGTTGCTTATAGAAACGGCTTCTCCATTAACCTTTATTACATTCTTGGCAGGACTAGACTTCCTGTCTCTGGAACTTCTCTGGAGTTTTTTCCCGTCCTTTGCTGGTACTTTGCTTGTGTGGAGTGACCACTGAAAAAAGTGACTTATGACCCCTTTTCACACTTACGACTGTTGCAGCATCCCCACAGTCACGAGAGGCCAGGCAAGGAGATGCATGCCTCAATGTGAGTGATATTGAGTTGGCCACACCCAGCCAATAACATGACCACCAAGCCATGTCCACCCAGTCACATGACCACCAAGCCACGCCCACCAACTAAACCACGCCCACAGAACCGGTTGTTAAAAAAATTGAATCCCACCCCTGGAATGCACCAATGGTCATCAGTGTGAAAAATGGCCATGGGTCATTTTTTTTCCAGTGCCGTTGTAACTTCAAATGGTCATGAATGCTTGTGAATCAAGTATTACCTGCATAAGCCATCCAATGGGGCTACCTTTGAAACCTACCTGTAAAAGCCTGTATGGCACAGGATCAGGTTAGCAAGCCCTTCCTCTCGCTTTAGATCCTGCTCTGACAAGTCAGGTGAGACTAATGTGGACTGCAACATGAGTTTCCAAACTTTTCAGGCCATGGAAATTGATAGTTTTAAAAAAAATCACCAAAATATCTGAACAAGAGGTAAGAAAAGATAGAAAATTGGCTCAAAAGATGGAAAATTGGCTGCATTCGAACAATTTTCTCCCTCTTTTTCTCTTGGAACCTTATGTTTTAATGTTCTTGTGGAACCCAAATTCTGTGGAATCCAGGTGGAAAATCCTGGCGTACAGGTGGTCCTCAACTTACAACCACAGCTGAGCCCAACTTTTCTATTTCTAAGTGAAGAATTTGTTAAGTGACTTACTTAATCACTGCAGTTGGTAAATCTGTATCATGGTTTTTAAGTGAAACTGGCTTTCCCGTTGACTTTGCTGGTCAGAACGTACCAAAAGTTGGTCACATCAACCCTGTCATAACAATGAGTCAGTTGCCAAATGTCTGAATTTTGATCAGGTGGCCATGGGAATGCTGTAATGGTTGTAAGTGTGAAAAATGGTCATAGGTCACCTTTTTTCAATGACATTGTAACTTTGAACTCTCACAGTTGTAATGAACTGTTGTAAGTGAAGGGATACCTGTGTAAGATAATCCTTCTTGGTGCCAAGCCCAGCATTGTGAAAGTGCTTCCCCTGGATATAAAGAATGGGATTTATAGGAATCCTTGACTTATAACCATACATTTAGTGACACTGAAAAAAGTGACTTACAATTGGTCCTTGCATTTCGGATAGACTCAACCTCTCCATGGTCAAGTGACCAACATTTGTGCAGTTGGCAACTGGCATGTACTTATGACAGTTGCAATGTGTCCTGTGGGTCATGTAATCTCCATTTGCAATTTTCCCAGCTGGCTTCCAACAAGCAAACTTCATAGGGTGTGTTTGTTTTGTTTGTTTTATTTAACAGCATGATTTATTTAACTGCATGATTTACTTAACAATTGCAGTCATCTGCTTAACAACCATAGCAAAAAAAGGTCATAAAATTGATGATAATTCACTTAACAACTGCCTTGATTGGCAGTGGAAATTCTGGTTCAATTGTGGCATAAAATGAGGACTATTTCTATTCAGCAGATTGTATAATTATTTTTGATGATTCTTTTATAGTGAGATATTATTTTGGAGATACACACATATATTTAAACTGCTTGAGTAGAGCAGTATAAAACTGCTCAATGTAAGATCTCTGTAGATTTTATAATGAAAAAAACAGATGTGTTCAGGTCCTGCAATGAGTAATCTCATTCATATGAAAAAGTCTCTAAAAACCCAAATTGACCACTTTCTGACTTCCTGTGAATTGTAGATGCCTCATAAATTGTGCTTCCTGTGAATTGTATGTGCTTATTACTTTATGTTATTTGAATATTTCTTGCTGTCTTAGGAAGAAATGTTTACGCAACTGAAGAGTTGATCCAGAGGTGAATGGGCTTTCACCTTTCAGTTACAATAGTAATATGGGAATTGCCACAGATGTTTTGCAATTCTGGAGCTTAGTTTACTTATTTTATTCATTTATTTATCCAGTTCACATAGCTGCACAACAGACTGATCAAGGGACTCTGGACAATGTACAACAAAGCTAAAAACAATAAGTATCTAAAAATTATCTATATTTAAAAAAACATTTGAAAACCTTGTAAAAACAAAGCATTAATGCGTCAAATAGTTTAATGCAGGGAATCAGTCCAGCATATCTGAACAGCTATCTCCACTAATAACATGAATCCCTGCTATCTCTGCTGTGAGATTTATTGCAAATGTGGTTGGAATCCCTGCTATCTCTGCTGTGAGATTTATTGCAAATGTGGTTGGGTGATTTGTATACTATGGTGGTGCAGTGGTTAGTATACAGCATTGCAGGCAAATTCTGCCCACTGCCAGTAGTTCGATCCTGAGCGGCTGAAGGTTGACTCAGGCCTTCCATCCTTCCAAGGTTGATAAAATGAGGACCCAGATTATTGGGGACAATAGGCTGACTCAGTAAACTGCTTAGAGAGGGCTGTAAAGCACCATGAAGCGGTATGTATATAAGTCTGTTGCTACTGCAATTGCTATTAGTATTTCTAATATGGAATAGCTCCGTTTCTATATATCATGCATTCACTTGGTAGCATTACAAGTAATCCTCAACTTACAACCATTCATATAGTCCCATTCATTTGAACTTACAACTTGAAAAGAGGTATTTTCAACTAGTTCTTGCACTTAAGACTGTCATGGTCACATATGAACATTTTGACATTTGGCAATTGCCATTTGTTTATGACTGTTTACAGCAACCTGGTGGTCACATGATTGCCACTTTTCCAGGCAACTTCTGACAAACAAGGTTAATGGGGGAAGCCAGGTTTGCTTAACAACCATATGATTAATCTAAATGGTTCACTTAATGACCACAACCACCACAACAAAAGACCATAAAATTGAGTGCAACTCAACAATTGCCTTGCTTGGTGATGGCAGTTTCTGGTCCCAATTTTGGTCACAAATCAAGGACTTCCTGTATTTTTTGTTTCTCTCTTCTTTTAAATTGAACCAATGAATTCCAAATGTTTTGAAAACCTGGATGTTTGTACCAAAAACAATGCATGGAGATTAGTGATATATTTAACATTTGCTATTTCTTTTCTGCTTATATAATTTTGTATTCTTTGGTTCTTTTTTCACTTAGAATAACGCTACCTAGAGTCAAAACCATTGATTGATTATGTGCTATCAAGCTGATCTTTCCATCCTTAATAGCAAAATGCTTTTAGACATTTACGAATGATTATGAATGTTTGTTCAAATGGCAAAGAAGCTGTAGATGAAACTACAGATACTCCTCCACTTACGACCGATTGCTTAATGACCATTCAAAGTTACAGTGGGCCCCACCCAAAAACTACATACACTCTGGGTTTCAAAGTCCCAACATTTCCCCCCCACCCCCGTGCAATCACATGACCACATTCTGGTTGCTTGGCAACTGACCCACATTTATGGCCTTTTGTAACCGCTCACAACACATGACTGTGATTTATGACAATTTTGTTGGAAACTGGCATTTACTTCCGGTTCCCAGAAAAAACCTCCCAATAGGGACAGTGAGTTTGTTTAATGACTGTTGTGAAAAAGGGAGTAGAAGTTGGTGACTCATTTTATGGCTATCACGACTTTAATTTCCAGGCTCAACTACCATTATAACTTGAAAAATATTTGTATAAACTTTTAATCAAAATCCTACCATTCTTTTCCCTACTTCAGATATTGGTTTATGATCACGGTGCTTCGCACATTATTGGATGTTGGGAAGATGTCAGGAATGCAGATAAGCCTCGATGATACCAGATAATTCACGATTTGCTCCCAACAACTTTGCTGTACACAGCTTCTCTTTTTAAACACTGTGTTCCCAGCTGCAGCTAATGAAGGGAATCAGGGCCCTTTCCTTCACCGTAAGCCATGCAACTCATGTTGCTCCCTTCTCCATTCCTCCCTGCGTGCCCTAGAATGAAGAGGGGGTATGCCTGGGTCTTCCTCCAAATTCCCTCTCCCTTGCTCTACCTCTCCCCTGCTCTGCCCAGCTGGCCTTTCCCCTTCCCCCGTTTCTTCCACAGCCAACGGAGCCACACTCCCACTCTCGGTCAGCTTCTAGGCCTCCCCCTCGAAGTCAGATTCCAACAGGGGTATGACTAATTTTATGCATTCATAACAGAAAGCAGAGGCTCTTTGCTGATTCTTTACCCCAAAAGATGGCTTAATTGGATTTGATACCGTTTGTTTTTGTAAGGCTTTCTCCTGATCTTAAGATGACCTGGACTTGATGGATGTCCCCATCCCAGCTCCTGCCTTGTGGCAGAATGGGGAGCAGTTCTTCAGCCCTCAAAATTTGCACTGATCACCGAGGGGGCATCAACTGGATCAGCCTGAGTCCAGATGGGCAGTGGCTGTTAACGGGCAGTGAAGATGGGACGGCACGACTCTGGAGCACTGCCAACAACCAGTGCCAGACCCACTTTCAAGGTAGGCCAATTGCAGAATGAAAGAGTTGGAAGGGACTTTAGAGATCTTCGGTCCAAAATTTATCCTTTGGTTTTGAGATATAAATTGATTATGGACCATCTAGTCAATATTGACCCTCAGCAACCATAAAGATGGATGTTCTCCAAGATCAGAGGTGGTATTCAACAGGCTCTGATCAGTTATGGAGGACAGGTAGTGGAAATTTTGAGTAGTTCAGAGACCCAGCAAATCCCACCTCTGACTGGCCCCATCCCATCTATTCGCTGCCTCCAGAGCCCAGCTGATTGGCTAGGTCTTCTTTGGTTGCTCTGCACAGGAGAATGGATCTGGAAAGCAGGTTAGTGGGGTGGGGAGGAAATGGGGATTTTACAGTATCCTTCCCCTGCCACACCCACCATGCCATGCCCACAGAACCGGTAGGTAAAAAAATTGAATCCCACTACTGCTCCATAGTGAGCTATCTCCAACCTGGTCCTTCAGAACTTCCAATGGTGGATCCATTTCTGTTGGAATTTAATCCATCCATGTTGCTTTCTGGTCATCCTCTTCTCTTTCTTCTCATCTTGTCCAATATTATAGATTTCGCTATATAAATCAATATAGGGGAGCTGGGTCTTTGCAGTCAACTGATTGACTAACGTGCCAGGAAGTTGATGTTGACTCTTCACGATCTTCTCCAAAACGCTTTATCCCCAGCCTGGCTGTTCAGGTGTCCCAACAGTGCACCCATTGTTGTTACACAGGTAGTCCTGAACTTACAACCATACATTTAATGACTGTTCAAAGGTCACTGAAAAAAGTGGCTTGGCTATTTTTCACAGGTACGACTATTGCGATATCTCCGTCGTCACATGACTGAAAGTCTGGTGTTTGGCAATTGAACTGGGGTCATGTGATCGCCTTTTATGATCTTCTGACAAGCAAAGTCAGTGGGAAAGCCAGATTCACTTAACAATTGCGTTACTTACGTAACAACTGAACTGATTCACATAACAACTATGGCCAAAATTGGTCACAAAATGGGTCAAAACCAATGGAAATTTTGGGATCAATTGTGGTTGTAACTTGAGAACTAGCTCTAATCAAATCCATCTACCTCCGGCACCTAAATTCTTCCGAATTGCACAGATGTATGGAAAAGATGCATATGGAGAGACAGTTTGGTTTGGGGATTGATTCTAGCCTAGAAACCAGAAGATTTTTTTCATCTTAGTCATGAAAGCAAGGTAACTTTGGGCCAATCGCTAGGAGACTTTGAGTTCTAGTCCCACCTTAAGCATGAAAGCCAGCTGGGTGACTTTA